TCTAGTTGAAAAAGATGTGCAATGGCTGTTGACAAGCACCAGTGGCCCAAACTCGCCAAATCGCCTAAAACTGTCGGCACACTAACTCCATTATGCAGTTCAGCAATTTTCATTGATTCGTGGTAAAGGATCATTGAAAAAGTTGGATGGTTAAAAATTTGGTCGCAGATCATCATATCAATGGATCGCTTCAATGTATTTCATAAAATTTGCTCAGTGTTCAAGTATCGTGTAATATAAAAATAAAAGAATTTCAGAAAACGAATGTTAAATATTTGGACTATATGTCGGATAGATGTGCGCCTGAATCACATGCGTTCATAAGCAAGCACTTTGCACCAACGTCAACCGAAATGGCTGGAAGTTCGATCATTGATCGAAGGCGCAATGTGATCGCTAATGTTCAAGTGATTTTTCTCTTATCACTGTTCGACCTTAAATGAAAAAAAAATCACAACTGTTGAAGGATTTCACCAAGTGGAGATTATGAATGAATTTGTTGTCCGGTATAAGGAAAAATCAACGAAAATTTAAGGGATATGGTAAGAATTTGGGCAAATTCGATACAGCATCAGAAGCGATTGTGCCACTGCTGTTCCATACGCAGGATATCTACCAGAAAAGTGGCGCAGATTTTGGCTCATTCAGACCGGTGGTTGCCGAATCCGAAGGAGGATATCACATGACATATGACGAGGAGAAACTCTGCAAAATGGTTGTTCCATATCAAGTTCGTTCACTCGTTTATTCGGCAACTACAGTTTTCGTTCACAATTTGCGCTCGCTTTAACACAATTCCATGGAAGTCCTCCAGCGATCACATTTTCTCATCATACTGTTCAGATCAATTAGAAAATGATAAGCGACTCGAAAATGAAATTCTTATCCGCTATCCAAGCATATTAAAACAGCCATCTAATTGTAAGAGTAAATGAAAACCAAAAATAACCATAAAAATGCTCGTACCAAGCAATATCATATGAGAACCTGAACCCCTAACTTTAGTTTGAATTCATCGGTGATTCTACCAGTTCAGCCTCAGTTTATGCAGTAAACCCAGCAAAACTCGACGAATTTAAAATGAATTTTTCAGACAGCGCCTTCACTCACTTAAAGAACTCTTCTCAAATTTCGATCGATCGTCGTTAATTGCTATTATCGGCTTTGTAATTATGCTATAACGGAATATCATTTTGTTACTCGTTTTATTTATTGAACTGAATAATTCGATTCATCTCATCCATTGTTCAATTAACAAATTTTTTGTTCAGTAATCGTTTAATGAGCAAATGATGTAAAGGCTTGTGAGATGTATGAAGTTGGGTTTTCAAACGAATCTACATTGATAAAAATGTTTCTTGATGCGATAGATTTTCGAAAAAAATAAACTTTGTATTCGGTTATGATGTCCAAAGATGTAATCGAATAAGAGCTATTTATCCTTCTTTTGCCCATCGCCTATCCTATCCACACAATAACCAGAATATCAGTGATCAATGATGAGAGGATTTTTTTTTTTGAATTTTGAACATAATAAAATCGTATATGTGCTAAGCAGCGGCATAAAAACGTTGACCAGTCATAATATTCTTGATCAAATCATTTGCCATGCCCAGAGAAGATATTCATCGAAGAAGTGAAATGATTTCAACTTCACACCTTTTGATAACTTTATATCGAAAGAGCTATCAAATCAACAAAAATATATCACATGAAGGATGTTGATATTTGTATGCAATATCCTCACGTATTTTTCTCAATAACAATAGTAATAGTGACAATGACAGTAATACTGATAACGTTGACTGTCAGTGAATTTCTGACAACTCCGAATCTTTTGTATTCGACGTACCAATCAAGAAATTATGCGATTCTTGGGCGATGCAGAAGAAACGGCCAAGCAAGTACAAAATTGTGTGCAAAATGAAACACGTACAAAATCGTTGCACCAGTTATGCCCTTCAAATGATCAAGTTCCTCTTGATGAACATGCGCTTTCCGAAGAGCTTACATTACTCTCGACCTGAATGTCGAACTGCTGAAGCAAGCGTTACTTCCTGGAAGTCGAGTTTATAGTTAACCGTTAGCCATAAAATCGGCGCTGAAAGCCTGAACAATCATGCTGTTGAGCTCTACTTCCCTGGAAACGACCATTCTCATGGGGCATTACGTTAATTCTGCAATCTTAATTCCAAAATGATCTCCTATGTTTATTTGCAAAGGTAACACAATGAATAACATAAACATCCACATCAATACTGAGAAATTTTCTGATCGCTGAAACAAACTGTTTCTAATATCTCAACAGCGGTGGAGAATAATGAAGATATTATCCCTCGAAAATTTTAGTGGAATTAAAACCGATAATATGTTCACTAATCACTGCATCGTTCTTTATTTCTCTCACTTCTCCAACTCTTTTCCATTCTCATTCTCTGATCCTCTCTGCAGTTCACAATGCAGCAGGTTCAATTTCTACAACGAAACATGGGATTGAGGCCTAACTTTCATCTTTTCTGACTACCTGCTATATGACTACACATTGTGCTTAGATCATCGGACTTCACACGGTATCTTGAACGAAGCAAATTCAACGAAGCGGTTTCAAACTGTAATTCGCTCACAAAATTTAATATCGAAGAAATCTGCCTCTTCAAGCTCGATCATGACAAATTAATGGATAAAGTCGAGAGTTTTTGCCAGCACTTTGCATGATTCTTGGAATTTCTGATGCCGAATCAATGATAATGCCAATATTTCTTAGCCTCAATGTTGATATCAAATCGTGGGGGTAGCATGACGTTGATATCCTCAGCTCAAAAACCTTATGACTATTGCATTATATCCGAGGACTTCTCAAGAATCTGAAATGAATCATGAATAACACATCAATTTTTTGGTTATAAGCGAATCTGCACGATAAAATGTACTCAAAAATCAGCATCCTAATGATTAGGTCTGATTGTGAGGATACAGATACCTTGAATATAGCATACTTGCCGGTGCTAATAGCGAACGTTTTCAGCATTATTCAAAATCTGGAAGTTTCTTCAGACTTCTCTTCTGACCTCACCAAATCCAGACAATAATTCAATTTTCACGATGAAATGGTCAAATTTTGTCGTTCATCATGGATCAAAAATTATCAGTTCTTATTGTCAGACGTAAATCGGCTGTAATTAACATAGGGAAGATTTATGCATATCGATAATTAGTAGGGTCTGCCTTATTCGCTGTTTCTAGAAAACTATGAGTTGAAAGGTAAAACCGAACCTTTGGGAGGTTTGAATAGAGCCATTAAACTCACTAATCGTAAGTGCCAAGGAGAATCTCATAGGACTACAGCTAGCCGATAGGGTTTTAAAATTTCGTCAAATATGATTTTTTAACTGATTCTCTAACNAAAAAGCAGTTGTCGAGTGTGCTTTTACGGTTTTTTACGACCATTCAATTCATATGAACCGCAACCAATGAACACATTGTAAAATGTTGTCAAATTAGGCACGAAACTATTTACAATCAAGAATCTGAGCGAACCTGCAGCACTTCTCCACTGCTGAATGCTTGCAATGATGCAACATTTTCATCTCTTCAAAGACAGGTTTTTAAACTGTTTCATCATAAAACCACAAGAAACACTGAAGACGATGAGAAGTTTTATTGTAGCAATGGCACACTGGCAATGCCAGAAGGCAATAAATTAGCATCCACTTATCGTATATTCTCTTGAAAAGTTTTAAAATTGATGAAATATCGCTTCTGTAATCGTTTTCTTAAACTTCACATTAATTGATGTTTCGTTGCTTTGTGGAGATATTGGTTCATTGTGCATTGCCCTTCAATTATGTGCACCATACTAGGCGTACACCGTCACCTGTATTCCTCTCATTAAAATGCTGCTAACCGAACGATGGACTGCTTTAATCGGAAACTGATGCAACCTGTTTTCACAGTTTTAAACTTCGGTGATCGTTAAAGAACTAAAAAATGGTCAAAATCAAAGAAAATCCAACGAATTTTGCTTCGAGTTTAGTGACAGACCTTCAGTCAGTTTTGAGCACATTGAGAACTTGATGTACACATTAACACCACGTATGTACATCGGCTTCA